AGTAGTCCGCGGCTCGTTGCCACTGTCGCTATCTACGTAAGGAGGGGATAACTAACCGCAAAAAATAAAATAAAATAAAACGTGATGTCACGACCGGAAGCGCTAGCGACGTTGCGCATTTGTCCTACATGGCGCGAAATTGAGATTTTTTTTATTGTGGGGGGGGGGGGGGGGCTGACTTGCTACATACCTTAATCATTACGCGGTTTTATTGTGCCTTAATTTTGTCTGGCTAATTGCATGCTAGATAGAAAACAAATAAAAATAACAAAGATTGAGGGAGCAAAGTTGTTTTATTAGAGAAATGACGTATACTTGCATTATGCACAAGATACTTCGCCGAGGCAATTTTGAGACAACTGTTCATGAGCACAATACTTCAAAAATAACGTTGACCAATCGTTGAAAACCACTGCAGCAAGACAGCTGTTTTGAAAATATAGAGCTTTGGCAGCCGTAGAGCACAGCGTGTTAGCCTGTCCCGTTCACAGTCACCAAAGGCGAAGGCACGCCGGCCGTGCGTAAGCGAAAGCAGTCGCCAGTCACAGGAGTGGCTATCTGCACATTATGAGAGCTAGTTGAGCTCTGAAATTCGCATAAAAAATAAGTGAACTTCTGAAGGTATGCAAGAAACCACCACGGAAAAGTGAGCGATGTCTCGTTGGCCTGGTAATGCGCCGAACCAAAAAACGCGCTGAACTAAACACAAGCTCTGACAGCATATCGCCTGGATACGCTTCCAAATTTGTTGGCTCATGTTATCAGACTGCCTTGCATGTGCCTACTGTTTCTGAAACCAAATGAAAAAAAGGGCGTTCAACCACATACCAAAGACCAAAGCTTATTAAAGTAGTCTATTAATTGTTGTAACACATAAATTTAAAACTATTCAAAATAAACGTTTTATTATTATTCTTTATTTTCGCTATTTGCCCCCCCCCCCCCCCCCCCTCACTTAGTCGCACTTCAGTCGTCTCGCGGCTGTTGACGTTTGTCGCAATAGCTAGGCTTCAGACCACTTTTCGTTCCGACTTTCGCAACCTATTTAGATTTAACTCACCTTTAGTTTGAAGCAAAACTTTATATTTTCCCCCAAAAGTGCGTGAAGCGTTATTATGCTTCTGCTAGACGACTTCTTGGTTGATTTAAACTAATCTTGTTAATTTAGGAGAAGAAAGTTACGTTTTAGCAAGTATACAGGAAGCACAATATTTAAGCCTTGTTTTTTACAAACTTCGCCAAAAAGTCGCAATTTTGCATGCAAAGCAATGTCGCAGTTTTATGTACAGTATCTCTTATTGTATCTGAAGCGAAAAATTTTCATGTTAATTTGCAGCTTACATAAAGTCGTCACAATATTTACGAGAAGCTTGTAAAAAGCCTGCTCGAGAGTTTGTGGTATAGTGTTGTACGAATAACACATTTTCCAAGCTTTAGATGTGTTATTTGGGATAGTTTACAGAATTGCGACACGTTGTCACATATAGACATAGCTGGGCAAACTCGCTCATCAGTCGACTCACCCGGACTCAACTAGAGCCGTGATTCCGAGTCCGAATGAGTCTGGGAGATTTGGAAATTTTGAGCCCGAGCGAGTGCAGTTGAGACGAATCTTGGTGAGTCTGAGTGAGCACGCAAATTATGTTTCGTGAGTGAGCCTGGGTGAGCTCCACGCTATGGTGATTACTATTCCACATCAGCATTTCTATTTGCCTTACGCCAGCTCGCGTTTATGCACACGTCCACTCAATCATATTTGAACGCACCAGTGTTCATGCGCCTACTCAATAATTATAGATCAAAGGCGCGAGTTCCGTGGTGGGGAGGTGCCTAGATTTCTTACTATGAAACTCTTTCACGGGAAGTTCTTCGTAGAAATATCCCGTGAGTGATCTCTTTCAATAACAATATATTTACTCGATTGCGACCACTACTTAAACGCATGAGGCCAAAAGGTGCCTGGTAGAGCACCTATTATGCCCGATACTGCAGTGAAAGAGCATGGACACCAGGGTTGAATGATTAATTTGTGGGGTTTAACGTCCCAAAACCACCATATGATAGAGAGACGCCGTAGTGGAGGGCTCCGGAAATTTCGACCACTTGGGGTCGATTAACGTGCACCCAAATCTGAGCACACGGGCCTACAACATTTCCGCGTCCATCGGAAATGCAGCCGCCGCAGCCGCAATTCGATCCCCCGACCTGTCGGGCAGCAGCCGAGTACCTTAGACCACCACGGCGGGGCGGACACCAAGGTTGAAAAAGCTGGTCATTCGCTTACGGACTCATGAGTCGACTCACCAAGACTTAGAGTGAGCCGTGAGTTTGAGTCTGAGTAAGTTAGAGATATCAGGGTTAGTTTGAGTCCGAGTGAGTCCCAAGGAAAAATATAGTTCATAAGCGAGTCTGCGTGAGCTCCACATTTTTTTTTAACCTATGGGTATAGGTGCGAAGTTTAAAGCTAAACATTCTGACACAGTTCCCTGTGTGGACCTTAAAAAAAGCTCAAGAAATAACCGCCCAAGCACTCCGTACAGATGATTGCCCAGCAAAGCTGAGACGTGCGGCCACAGGCGGTTACAGACGTCGTAGCCAAAATCAAAGTGCCGCCCGAGCAACTCCCACCGAAAGCAGGGTTCGGCCTCGGCGAACGGGTTTCCTTGCCACATTTACGTTGCCTTGCCTGCAACACCGCTTCCGCGACTTGCCATTGTCGCTTACATTCGGCTCGGAAGGCTCGAAGGATCCTCAAGGCGCAGTTGCTGTTTGCGCCTTTAAACCCGGCCCTGTTTCTGTGCCCGGACTGCTGCATCGGCCCGGTGAACACGAATTTTCTCACGGGTCATCTGTTGGCGTTGTTTTTTGGAAAGTTGTTTGTTGTTTGGGTGTTCATAAGATCCGTGTCCTTCTCATGTGGAAGTTGTAACTTGAGACTACTGCGCGCGGGCCGGAGGCACGTCTGTGAAGGAGCGAATGACGTCGCTGATGTTGCTTCCAATGGTGCTCGCTTGGGTGCGACGTAGAACGGCGTAACTGGTGCAGCAGCCTTTTGAAAGCTTCAGGTACATAGTCGAAAATTTGAAAGTACTAAATTTTCTGTTCGTATCTCTATACATAGATTTCGAAAAACTATATACAGACCGATCGGCCTACTTTCATCGCTAAACGAAGTATTTGCGAAGGTAGTTCCAGTAGAAGAAGGGAAACACTTTGCTTTTGCTTTCATCAACCTTAAGAACAAGTTTCAGCAAAGCGCTACGACGAATCCACTTGAGGTGATCAATAAAATAAATTGGAAATATGTCAAATATACAAAACCTTATTATGTGACATTAAGTGATTACGAAAAGGCAACGAGCTCGCTAAAAATACCAGTCGTTTTGTAAACGATGCATCACCGAGGAGTCTATGGAACATACGTGATACCATAACCAACTTGAATAGGGATTTCACGGCTGCCTTGGTCTTTCTCAAGGAAAGCGGGAAATTTCCGATGCAGAAGAGGGTCCATCATGGAGATGCAATCTCTGCTTTAAAATTCACCGCACGTTAAGAAGCGCTCACACGACTATATTAGGATGAAAAAAGAGTAAAAATATACTAACGGGAAAATCTCGGTGATTTACCGTTTGCATACAACGCATATCGTTCTTCAGGTATGTTGACGATGAATTGTAAAAAAAAAAACTATTGAAGATGTAAACTGAGAAGGCATTAAATTATGCGGTTGAAGATGAATACGCAGAAAGCAATGCAAGGTGGTTCGGTGAAAGAGCGAGAGTTCGTGACAGGCAACTTCCGCAGAGGATATGTATACTAGCACGGGAGCCTGCTCATGCAAAAGAGCATAACCAAAATGAATGACTCGTTTTGGTGTGAGTGTGGCATACATTCTCACCTCGTGACTGGCAGCATACCACTGTCACCAAAGCGGACAGTGTTAACTGTTGTTAACTTGCATCTTTTATTTGCACTCTGAGATCTAACTCTCTCTTACGCACTTAATTGACCATAAGCACGTTCAACGGCGTATCATTGTCCACTTGATCCACACCACAAGTACACGCACCACTCCCAGCAACTCCAAGCGGGTGCTCGGTGTCACCACTGACAACGATTACCTTATGTTTTGTATCGGATGCTGTATCGCACTTACACACTTCTGGTTCTACGATGCCAAATCGATACATGTGCCTCTATAGTAGTAGGTACCGTTCAACATAAAGTTCTGCACATCAACAGTGATTTAAACAGTGGATCAACAGAAAATCGAAGTAGGCTTGCGTCTTCGCATTTTAAGACAGCCCTGAGATGATCTTGAATTTAAATTTTTTTCTTGCACAAACGCCACGACGATGAAGGTGACGAAGCATACGCGCAGCACAGCCCATGCGCACTTTTATTTATTAGCTTTTTTTTTCCGACCAACGCCGCAAAGAAGTGAACGAAGTATTGCCGCGATCACGTGCAAGCGGTCACATGCAAGTGGTTATTTTTTTACCGTTTGTTTCGGACCATACGTCACCTAAACTTATGTATTTTAAGGCTTTCACCTTTAAGAAATTGCATAAATGGAATGGAATCGGCTCACGAAGCACAGTGTGGGTTGGAAATGATCGGGAGGGCCCTTCGTCCGGCAGTGGACATAAGATATGCTGATTATTATTATTATTATTATTATTATTATTATTATTATTATTATTATTATTATTATTACGATGATGACGCTGAAGGTGAATACAACCCACCGCTGTGCCTTTCTCATTCTACGAATGCGAGGTGTGGCTGGGGCTTGAAATATAATATCTGTGCATATTAATTGCACCAAGTCTGCACAGAAGCCACAGTTAGATGAAAACTAGATGTTGGACGTCGGCTGATGTCATAGTTATCGCGCGGCGGTGTCCTGCGAATGATGCCCATATATGGACGGAAACTGTATGAGGACCAGGGACGTCAACTTTGCTAATGGCGCCTCCAAATGTTTCTCGTTGCAGCTACCAGTGCCATCCGGTGCTACGAATGCAACTCTGCCACTAGTGCCGAATGCGATAGCAACCCGCAACCTGAAATGCTGAAAAACTGCAGTGATCAAAGCAAGGGCTCCAAGTACACGGCCTGCAGGAAGATTGATGAAAACGTCGACTTCGAAGTCAATGGCTGTAAGTAAAGATTACAATTTCTGATCGTGTGCACTGCCGAGCCACCACTCTTGTCCCTGCAGCTTTTGTAATCAGCAAAGCACTGGAAACATGCCCACGTGCATATTTGTCTTTTTGATTTTTCGAATATGCGCAGGATGGACAGCTATGAGGGATCGTACATAGTCTGCATGTACTTCTGACATATATTGGAGAAATGGTTGTAGTTAGTAACCAACTTGGTGAAGCCATCGATCTGTCGCAGTTTCACATGCTTCTCTCGATGAGCGGTATAACTCAAAAGATGAAGTGGCAGCTACTCCAACTTTTCAAGCACAATCCAAAACAGGTCATCAACCAGGGGGTTTTCGTGAAAAGCCTCTCGCCAATTTTCTCAATTGCTTTTAATGTAGAAAGAAGGCGGTGTAAGAGATGATGTAAGCAGCCTTCTTGAAAACACCTCATCTGAATGAGTGCACTTTCGTTTGGTTTGGGCGCGCCTGCTCCAGGGGTACTTGTGCGAGATGCTCGGCACCCTCTTCGCACGTTGTCACTTATTCAATTTTTTATGAAGGTACCCACAGATGCAGTACACTCATGGTAGGCTACTTCCTAGTGCACTTCGCTGTACCGAGAAGTCACACTGACATGTGCCACCGTTGTTGCCTGCTCTAGGTTCCGAAATGAGAACACTGTGATTGAGAAAAATATCTAGTGCTGTAATATGAAAGAAACAAAATCTGATCACAGGCAAAACACCACCGCACGTACGTTTGTGTCTTGCTGCCTTTTGTCTTGCTGTTCTATTTCTGGCGGCTCCTCCAAACTGGGCACTGAGCATTCGAGGGCCGCTATGTGGTGAGAAAGGGGGGGGGGGGGGGATTGGCGCTTTTGTTATGAATATTTCGCCTTCAGCCAATGGGGTGGAATCGCTGGGAACAAGCGCGGATGGGTACCGGGTGCGACTTCCCACTTTCCACGTGGGATCAACATTTCTTGTCCAGCAAGACATGACGGTAGTGCGCTACGATGCCGTCATTCTCGCACTGAACGTCCAGAGACTTTGCGTTTGGTAGTAAGCTTTCTATCTTCGCGACGAAAAACTTGGTACCACCTTCTGAATTGAACCGGATATCTTCAAAGGTTCGTCACGGTCAACGTAATTGGTTTATATCCTGATGACATGCAATTGGTTTACTACGCCTGATTTAAAAGTTGTACTATAGTACCATGATTTTAAATTGTTTTGATCATCTGGTCACTTTGCCGGGTTATTTTTACTGGAGGTTAGAACCACCTTTCAGTGTGTGCTTTGATCATGCTCTCAAATTAAGTTGTAGGATAAACGACTGTCTCTTCACCTATATTTATAGTTATAATTTTTATTCGGTTATATTTTTTGAACTTGATAGTTTTAACAAGCTCGTTTCACAGAAATTCTGGTTTTGGTGTTGCTGTCAGCGTCTCCGGTTGTAAAGAAAAAACCAAGAAACCTGCCAATAATAATAAAAAAAAACTTCAGTACGAGTGAGAATTGATCTGAGGCTCTCTGCGTGACATTTAGACGATATACCAGAGAGGTACGCCAATGGTCGAAACATGCGAAAAAAAAAGAGTATGAATTTCATGTAGTCGAAGTTTTCATTAATATTGTGTCCAGCCGAAAAAGTGAGGCCTTATGTTTACACTTCTTTTGTTCATGTAATAGTAGGCATTTCTTCAATCCACGCAATATTAAGTGGTGCAAGCGTAGAATCGCGTCAGGCGTCTACATATGCGAAATGCGCAACGAGTGGCTGTTAGAAAGGCCCAGCCATTACAGGGCGCTCACTTATGTTCGCGTGTTGCTTTACGCACGCGTAAAGTCCCCCTTGCTGATTCACAAAAGAAACTATTGTGGCGCAGTGGGCACTTCGCAACTGTACTTGCTGTCGACATTCTACAGTACTTTGAAACGGCCAGTGTAGCACGCACAGTCGTTGGTTCCCTCACGGCACGGTTGAGGCATACACAGAGACCGAAGCTAGGCTAGTAATTGAGATGGTGATTCGCCCAGAGCCCGATTTTACCCATTGCGGTCTACTCTTGAAGGCGAAGATCAAGCGTCCTCCAAGCTTTGTAAATGTTGCGTAATTGTTGTCACACAATATACATAATACTGAACAGCGTCCTTTGTGCCATACCCACCACACAAATAATAATAATAATAATAATAATAATAATAATAATAATAATAATAATGGATATATAACATTTATTTGCACTACAGTATGAATTCTCTCGAGTAACGTGCAAGGCTTGACAGCGTATTTGCTTAAGATCATTCGTCTGCTAGCCCATCACCGCAGGGCGATAGAGATCGAAGGCTACATATATGAGGTTTCAAGCTGTTGATAGCAACTTATACGTTGGTCCACGCCGCTGTGTAACCATGCGTACACAGAAAATAAATTAATGAATAAACAAACGAACGAACAAGTTGCGTGAAGCGGAATCCGGCCGCCGCTGTTGGAGCCTGGCGCAAAGCGAGTCCGCGTACCTCAATGTAGATAAATCTGCTCCTCCTCGTTACGCTTCATACATGACAAACGCGTTTTCGTACAAGAAACTACGCAGTGCCAAAAACAGTCAGAGAAGTGAGGTGGTAGTGGTTAGAAGATGAGAAAAGGCACCTAATTTCTGCAACCCGGTCGGGAGCACGGCACAGTGCCTGTGAGGTGGGAATACAGCGCACCATTCGCGGTAGCTGCTTGCACGTCGCCGATCACAGTATACGCGCGCCCCGCGTCGCTAGAGCAAGATCGTGCTGCAGCGCCACCAGTTCTCGCGACCGCCACGCGGCCCGCCTCTCCGGAGCAGCTTTCAAACTGAGTTTATTCTAGTAACGTTGGCGGCCATGACAGCCAGCTTTCATTTCTGTAACACGCACAGTTAAACCAAGTACAAAGCGAAGTACAAAGGCAAGATATGTTACGAAACCAAAGCTGTGTTTGTAGCCAACTGTTGCCATATGCTTCCGTGCTAACAAAGAAAATAGTAATTGAAAAAAAAAAGCCCCAAGAAGGTGGCACCATTTCCACGAATAAGCAAGAAGAAATCCGAAAAGAGCTGAAATGTAATAAATGTTCCCATTCTTCAAAATATATCATTAATTGTAATGAAAAGTGTCACTACAGTATGAAAGGAAGGGGGGGGGGGGTCAAAAATCACTTGGGTTACTTTGTACAATATATGCGTGACTATGAATGAAAAATCACATTTGCTCTTTAACATCGTCTCCAGGGTAGTCTACATTCGGTTGAATGCGCATTGTGAATGATTAACGGTACTTGTTGAATCCTCCAGCACATGTTTGACTTCAAGACTCAACTACACAGTCATCGACAGACGCGCTATTAGTGTATGGAAGCTCACTATTGGGGAACGGGGTGATTTCTAAAGCAACTATATTTGCTGGGAAAATGCAAATAAGCCCAAAAAACGACACAAAAGACTGGAAAATTCTACAAGTGAGTCGGTGAAATAAGAAGCCGAAATTCGCGTATTGCTTATTAGCGAAACTGGCAAGCTTGTTCTAGCCACTCTTGCCCATGTCCTTCGCTCTGTTTCTAGATTAACTATGAATAACTTGCGAGACTAGGCTTCCCTCATACCCTTCTAAAGTGCCCAGCTGCCAGCCACGACAGTTGTATTAATTTTAGTTGTTACACTGTTGAGAACACTCTAGACTTGAATGACGCGTCTTGATTGCCTTCTATGTGGTGGCTATACGATAAATCTGCAGTTGGAAGGAGAATGTGCGCTGTCTTGGTCGTTGCGCAAAAGGCCGATTTCTTGGTTAGAAGCGACGCAGAGGACCTAAACAAAGGGTTCAAGACGATAAACATGCGAGTCTACTTCATGGGCACCGTGTCTATCGTATTGTTGTTTTGTGCCCTTGTATCTTGCGCTGTTTCCAATCATAAATGCAAACCAACTTTGCCACTATGCCGCTCTTCTTTAGAGATTTGTCTTCTTTTCTCATTAGACGCCCATATGGGTGAGTTTCTATGTAGGCATGATTCGGTTAGCGGGGAAATTGGGTAGTAAATACTAAACAAATCATGCATCGTAAGCTACGCTTCTAGCTCCAATGCCTCTATAAGAGAAACATGCTCGCGATGAAGTGAAGATGCATTGTAGATTAACGCCGTAGGGAGGGGGGGCAGAGTCGCAACTTTGAACATGTTGCTTTCTCGATGAAGATTGAGTGAGCTTGCTCGAAATATTTCAAACGCGTTTTTACCTTTATTGCTACCAAATGCCCCTGCACTAGGCGTATATGTTTAGGTGGACCGTAACAATGGGAAAATTATAACTAAGGTCATGGCAAAGAAGCTGTTACCTAATCAGTGGAACACTTTATATGCACATTTATCTTTTGTTAACGTGAGAGCGTTCAAGAGCTCGTTCGCAAAAATTCCGGCGTCGGCGTCTTTGGTTGCGAGCGAAAAATCGTCTTATACGTGACCGAAAAATGTAAAACGATGAAAATAAATGATGAAAATGCTGGAGCTGAGTGGAGACCTAAATAGGATTGTTTGGCTTCCAGTGGGGCTCAAACCTGGGTCGTTTGCGTGTCAAATGGGTGTTCTACCACACAGCCACGCCTCTTCTTGGAACAGTGAAAAAACTGCCCCTGCTTGGAAATGCAGTGAAATGCTTCACAAACACACGCGTCCTGTGTACATGCTTTACAATGCAACATGAAATATTGCAGTAATAATGCGTGGTACAAGCATCCTTTGCCAACGGGCGTCAGAGTATGTATTATCATAATGACTCCGTGGTTGAAAGCCGGTACCCCATTACAAAAGGTACACATGCTACGGCGCCTATTCCCTGAAGGCCACGTAATGGGTACACAGCAAATTAGAAAAAGTTTCATGCACTAAGTGTTTGAAGTACGCACTAGGAACTGGATGTCACTAGCGCGTTCAACTACTAAAGGCGAAGCTTTAGGGTCCCTATACTTTTTTGCACGATGAAACATATACTGGGCGTCCCACATAACTTGAGTCAAGAGTTTGAAAGTGAAGGGCACTTAGGAGGGCAATTAAACCAAACGCATACTACTCGAACGAGCCTGTAAGTACTCGAGCTATTTTTATTTCTTCCCAGAATAATTATTGATTCTTAATTACCACCTCAATTATGGGCTGGAAACCCAAAATATGAACACTGAGATGTAGAGCACTTTCAGAAACCACCGATTAAATTGTTTCCTGTATGATACGTCTCGCGCTGTTATTTTTTCCACGTTGTAAAAAAAAGCCCGTGAAGTCTGTAAAGAAGCAGTCTGACGGACCGCGAGCACATTGCTATAGTGCTGCTATAGGCTTTATTTTCAACGCGGAAAAAATGACAGTGCTAGACGTATCGTACAAGAAACAATTTAGTCGGTGGTTTCTGAAAGTGCTCTACATCTCAGTGTTTATATTTTAGGTTTCGAACCCATAATTAAAAAAAGGTAATTAACACTTGACAATTAATTAGTATGCGAAGAAGTAAAAAATAGCCTGAGTACCTTCGGGCTAGTACAAGTAGTACGTATTTGGTTCAATTCGCCACTGAAGTGTCTTTGGTTTTCAAATTCTTGGCTCAAGTTATGTGGGACACCCTGTATATATAGTAAATGATTTACATTTAAGAATGTCAGTATCGCACAACAAAGCAATATTGAAAAAAGTTACTAAACCGGCTCCTGCTCTACTTTTAGTTCAACAGTGCATGTCGCATAAATCAATTGAATACCTACATTGGAGGCCACGCATCAAAGAACAGTTTCTATAAATTTCCTATGAGAAGTCAAGTGCTGGCTAACCCCAGGCACTGGACAAAAGTATTAGCGTTTTTGATCGTTCTTGCCTGTCCTTCGTCCACGTCTAGTTTTTGCCCTATTAGCTCGGGAAAGCGACAAAACGTTGAAGGAACGGACGACATGAACACTCGCTTCCAGCCATCCTTTATTGCACAGAGACTAAATTTAATATACAGGAAAAAACCCACAAACAAGCAAACAAAGTGATAGCAATGAGAGAACGCCCACATAATCGGAGAACATCAAATTATGAGGGGGGTGGGCACCTCAACCGGATTATAGGTTGACGTGAAAGAAGGGGCAGGGGAGGGTGTTAATTATAGGCGCACGATTTATTTGTTATATAATTGAAAGGTTACCGCGTACTTGCAAGGAGAGTGACGATTGACTACGGTGAACTCCTCGGTGACTTTCCGTGCCCGCTGCTTTGTGTGTCTTCTGACAACGGCGTTTTGTCCTGCATTTTGACTACAATTGCCTCCAGGAGCCTGCCAAGAGTCTGAAACAGTATAGTATCCCGGCATTGGGCTGTTACTCAAACGAATGTGCAAAGGCCTGCAACACGCTCTCAGCATGCAGTGGTGTGATCGCACGATTCGTGCATGCTTATAATTGGATAACCGCAAGTGCTCTTTCATAGCTGTTCTTGGTGATCTCTTTCGTGAGTGGCCCGCCACGGTGGTCTAGTGGCTAAGGCACTCGGCTGCTAGCCCGCAGGTCGCACGATCAAATCCCGGCGCCGCGGCTGCATTTTTGATGGAGGCGAAAAGGCTGTAGGCCCGGGTGCTCAGATTTGGGCGCACGTTAAAGAACCCCAGGTGATTGAAATTTCCGGACTCCTCCACTACGGTGTCTATCATGATCATATGGTGATTTTTGCACGTTAAACCCACATATCAATCAAATCATCCAATCAATATTTCGTGAGCAAGATCCGGAAGGTGCGGAATACCGGCAGCACATGTGCATTGATCCCTTCACGAACTTTTACTAAAACAAGGAGCACTAAGCTGGAGAGCATTTTCCGTTACTGCTTGCTTCCAATCTCTCTCGAAGACTGTGTAGATGACGCTGATCAGTAGAACTGTGCCAGTGAATGGCGAATGAGCGTATGAATTTTCTTGAGATGCAACCAGGTATGAATATGCCAGTTTGCCCGTAATGACAACGTGGACGACCCACCACTTTCTCTAACGCCACGACAAGCAAGCACCCAGGTCTCTCAACCATTCTGAACCTTGCGAGGCCACGCGCGTTGAACGAGGGTGGGTCGTTTCGCACGCACTGCCGCCACTTGCGTCCTTTTTCTTTTTCTTTTTCGAGCAATGGTGTCAAGGCCGCGCTGTGCCACGCCTCAACCACGAGGGGACATGAAAGACGCTGCACGGCAGTGATGTTCCTCACCTGATAAACGCTTACATACGTGTGGCACTTGGGGCTTCTTTTAATGCCAAAGCTGCCCTCTCGTGTTCCGTTCTTGAACAAAATCTGTCACCTGACGTGAATGTTGTGCTTGAGCAGCCCACTGGTAGAGATGTTCAACGAAACTCTGCTGAAATTAAGTCTTAGTATTTGCATTAAAACTTGGAGTGAGTGGCGGCGTCGCAGGATGCAAAGCAAGACAATCATAAAATATTTCAGCGGATACCAGGACAGTGTAACATTTCTGGCAACAGGGCAACGGACGAAGGAACATGCAAAGCACATCGCAAAAAATGTGATGGCTGACAGGGACATCTCCATACTGAAAGATGAGTTGTGCTTAACTATTAAATTAGCTTCTTTCAACATGTGTACAGGTACGTGGTTCTACCTCAGTTCAAATTACCCTCATTAATGCCTTATCTAACTACTTATTGAATTCTAAATTTTATCTTCAGTTGTACGTATGTAAATCCTTATTCATCGGTTAAGTCTGTGGGCACTGCCTCACGAAACTATTTTTGCACTTATGTGGCCGCACTGAATTTCCTAAATGCTACTTTGTATTTGTAGACGAAGATGTACCGCTTTTTTTCTAGATTGCCCACACCACGACACACCAAGACGGGGACCTAGATCCGGAAAAGAAACTTTTGGGCCCGTGGCCAACAATATCCATAGAACTTTTTCACGCTCTAAACGCGCTGAAGGGTTGTCTTAAGGAAAATCGCATTGCTGTTATTTGAAGGTCGCTCAGTATAAGTATGTCGTAGTTTGTTTTCTTGTGTTGTGGGGTGTCTGTATGCGATAATTCATCTACATGATTTATGTACTGCCCACTGATTATATTGGTTTTCTAATTAGGTGACCTTACTTCTATTTTGAGACTTTATTGGGCAGTATCATTGTGCTATTCGAATTGTACGTTGTATGCACCTCGTATTTTTTAATCTTCATCCTGGCGTTGCAGTGAGAGTTTTGATTACACGTATTTTTAAATTTATTATGTTTTATGCTCAATTCCTTCAAGCGCTAAGCAGTAGCCGCTGCCTATTTGGGTGACTGCTCCTTACATGAGTGGTTCTCAGCCATGGATGTTCTGGGGACCCCTTTTACTCTCGTGGAAGAGATGAGCGACCTCATGCAAAGAGAGAGAGAGAAAAGGGAGGGGGTCACAAATTTACAAATATGCATCGTCAGATAGCTGCCTTTTTCTACGGCCAGGCAAATAATGGGGCAACTGAAGTTCCTCGCCAATTAAATCTCGAACGGCTGGTATGGCTTGTGGTCTCCAGCCACACTCAACCAGGTTTTAGCGATGTTTGCTCTTCGAATATTTTTTTTGGGGGGGGGGGAGGGGAAAGTTGGAAGTGGGTGATGGGTTTTGCGGGACCCAAAAATGGCGTCGCCGATCCGCTGGGGTCCGCAGACTCGATGTTAGAACCACTTACTTACATCATAAGAAAAACCGTGGCTTTATTCTGGCGTAGTTAGCCATCGTGTGAACGAAAGTAGACCAGCCAAAAGCGCGTGTTCAAACGCACTGAAAAGTAGTTTTTTTTTCCCTTGAGGCCACTGAATTTTTCAGGCTTACTGCTGCGTCTTGGCACTGTACGTCTTTGTTTACTTCCCTTTGATGATGAGCCAAAGGGTAAGCGTGAATGTGCGCACTCACTGTCCATGGCTTTTTGTGCGCAGTGCCAGCCGTCAAGCGCGTGGTCCGCATGTGCGCCGTGGAAGGAGAGCCGGACAGGCCGTGCTACTACAAGGCTGGCTTCGGCGGACGCGTCAACGTGTGCCACTGCTTCGAGGATGGATGCAACAGCGCCAGCGTGCCGGCCGCCGCTGTCGGCCTGGCGGCCGTCGGTGTTCTACTGGCACTGCGGGTTGCGTAGCGGCGCGGACCCAGCGCGCCCGTGCAGCGCCGCCCCCATCGTGAGCCCCACAGCCGGGCTGTTGTGCCCGGGACAGATGCCGATAGCGCCGCCGGACCATAGTCTTTGAAAGTTTCCTTCTCTGCCCAACCTTGGTGACTCGGTTTCCAGTAGCAGCGCCGTCGCTGACCACCTGTTGTACCTCAAGTCGGTCCCGTATGCTCAGAACCAGCATTCCAGCTAGCGTCCCCGGTTTGCTATTTGTCTTCAGAGGCAGCAGTTACATGCGTTCTCCATTCATAAAAACACACCTCTCGACACGTTCCTTTCACCAAAGCATGCGCGTCGAGGCAGGTCGTGGCACACGGCTATCCTTCCGAAGCCGACACGGCCTGCGAAGCTGCGCGCGTCTCCGACTTAGCGTCTGATCGTTAAACAGAGAAAAAGGAAATAAAAGAGGTCACACATAGGATGTCGCTGCTTTTACACGCGTCCCTTGCTTCGCTCATATCACGCTGCCATAGCTGACGGGTTCGAAGCTGCAGTCAGTCTGCAGGTGACTGCCACACATGCCACGATCTATATAAGTATGCCTGTTGAAAGGACGTTCGATGTCGACCCGTGTGCTCTATTCTGCAACACTTCTACAGTTACTATCTTATTTGTGCGCGTAGTGGAGTGCGACTAGTGATCCTCCTACATACGTAGATAAAATGTACTAATAAAAAAAGGCCAAAAACGGGACGTCGCTCGCTTTTTGTTCTCGTCATTCGCCACGTCTTTGTTAACGGTGTATACAGCACCATTGCGAGGTTACTCTGACGTGACACTTTACAAATCTACACACTACTGAAATCACGGCGGTCATGTGCCGAGGTAGCTGATTTGGCTTCGTTCGAGTGCCACGGCAGTTCTGCTGCTAACCCGACATTTCTGACACTGGTTGACACTCGTGTGGTCTTGTGTGAAGGATGTGACGACTACCTTCTCTGCGAACTTTGTGAGCCTTCATTGAGAAACAACAGGGCAGGCGGCTTCTGTTCACAGAAGCTTCTGTTGAACGACGGGGCGAAACTCTTAGTCGATGCACTTTCCATTGTGATTCATTTTTCTTTCTTCCGATAGGAGTAGGTAGTAATGATTTTGTGGTCAAATCGATTAACTGATCGATCAATTAAAATAGCGGCCGCAAATACGTAAGAAACCGTGATAATGGCGTAACAGACAACTAATTGCAACAAACGCGCGAATAATGCTAAATAGACAATGCGCTGTGAAAAAACGGTAAGGAAAAAATGAAACGACCGAGAAAAGAGCTTTAATAAAACAAAGAGAAACCAAGAAGTCTTTTGGTAGGACAAAAATTTTTATACCAAACAAATAGGTGTTAATTGCACTGTTCGATTTGTTGGTGACGGTTTCGAGGAGTCTCACACAACTGTATACGCCCCATGAGCCGAGCTTCAGGTTTGAAAAAAACATGCAGGAAGTATCTCAAGAGAGCAAGACCACTTAGAAGTGCTCTGTCAGCTACTGTGACTCCGTGTCCAGGTAAATATAGTCAGGCTTAAGAGAGAGGGTGTCATGTAATTAAATGGACATAAAATCTCTGGATGACTATTTGCAGCAACCCAGAACTGAACGTGACGAATCCTTTATACCACAGCAGCTATAGACACTTAGCGATTCAATTTTAGTTGTGCCAGATAACCGCCCCAAACTCCGCCGAAATCGCAGGTACGTGAAACAAGTCTCGGGAAATGAAACCGGTCATGAGTCGCAGATACATTCCTAATCACATAGCTTGATTCAATTTGTAAGTAATCTGCAGCAATAATAGCGCATATATACACTAAGCCTTAATGATTTTTCAATGCCCCGCCTCGGTGGTATAGTGGCTAAGGTACTCGGCTGCTGACCCCCAGGTCGCGGGATCGAATCCCGGCTGCGGCGGCTGTATTTCCGATGGAGGCAGAAATGTTGTAGGCCCATGTGCTCAGATTTGGGTGCTCGTCCAAGAATCCCAGGTGGTCGAAATTTCCGGAAGCCTCCACTACGGCGACTCTCATTATTCTAACATGTTTTTGGCACGTAAAACTCCAGGTGTCATCATTATCATGAGTGTTGGGGCACGTAACAAGAGAGATGTGCGCAAAATAAAGGCCAGTCGTGTCTATGTATGTATAATACATCAAATTCAATGAACACTCCAAAAACAAAGTGTAGAGCAGCCCTTACAAGAGGACGTAAACTGCATGCCGGTGCGCCAGAGTATATATGACACGTAAAGTTATAAAAGTGGGCTTACATAAATTTGATCAATCAGAAGAATCCATCATGGCTAACAGCGTCAAAAACACACACGAAAAAGACACGACACAGCGCTGTGCTGTGTCCACTTCTCGTCTTCGTGTGTGTTTTCCGCGCTGTTAGCCACGATGAATCGGCACCAACTCGCCAAAAGTTCCAGCTTATAAGAACGCATCTCCGCGTCCCCGATGGAATGTGACCTATCCTGTGCAGTGTCTACGCTACACGCAGCGCCCCCCCCCCTTTTTTTAATATTATAAAATTCTTTTTGAACACTCCCGAACTTTCTTGGCCGTGTTGCTGCCGCTGCTGTCTTGATGAATGGCACACGCTTAAAAACGAGATGAAAATGTCTCATAGATACCTGAAAGTTCTTTATGTGCATTACATACGAAAGCAGCGTGGAGCACACACAGAAACACTGAGTAGACTGCATGGCGTCGTCGGAGAAGCCACAGGATGTCTAGGCGCGACGTATGGAGGGGTATGGGCTATATCAGTGGTCACACTATTTACGTGAACTTGCAACTTAATGTTCATAGTTGATCACACCATTATGTTGCCTGGCGTTATCACGTGGTCGTGTGCTTGAATCCTGCAGTATTGAGGTGATCCACCCAAATTTTGGGGGTGGGATAAGTGAATTTTGGAAGTGGCTCAGGCTGCAGTTTTGTGTACGTGGGTCAGCTCGATTTGCGAAGTCGGCAGTCTATTTCTGTATAGGCTGTCCAACATTTGCGGGTGGGCCAAGTCAATTTGGGAAAGTTCGTCAAGTCGTTTTATAACACGTGATCAATTCATGTTTTCCAATGGGGCTGTGTGAACTTATAGATAGGCTACCCAAGTTATGGGGGTAAATCAAGTAAATTTCGGAAGTGGGCTACATCTATTTTGAACGTGGGTCAACCCAATTACTGAATTGGGCACCAAAACACAAGGAATGTCTTCACCTGGTCACGTGTATTTTAAAGCCATCGGATATTTAATTCGACTTTCAATGTGCGGTAGCCAACTTTTCTGCTTCTTGAGGTATACAGGTGTTTCGTCTAACAATAAACCAGAATATTTTTATAAAAAATGGGGTTAATTGCGAATGAATGAAACCGAAGATATATAGTTTGCCATCATGTGGAAGTCGTTAGTGCATTTTTATATAAAGACTTCTACAAACTCCTTTTAGAAAACTTGGGTTTGAGCTTTATGAACAGGCGTCGCTCTCCTTGAGGGCGTCGGCTCTAGGTCAACTGCAACAAGAACTAATGTGATGCCACATGTAATTTGATAAGCGAACAAAATACACTGCCATATGTTAACATCACAAGTGCATTTTTATACGAAGGAAGGTATTGAAGAAATATGTCTCTATAATTTGAAGGAGCACAACTTAGTTCGTTTTATAAAACCGTCGTCGTCAGTCGCATCGTGATATTGCCAACAAATACATCGAACGACGAATTCTCAGTGCTAGGACTTCATAACACGCTTTGTACACTCACAGCCCTAAGAGAGTGCTGGCCACTCTTTTTGTGGGAGTAGAGGCTTGTCCCTTATTTCACTCTCTTTTCAGGAGTGCTGGGAACTCTCTTCTGCACAAAGTAACCACACTCTCTCGACAGAGTGCGGTTACTCTGGCAGAACGAGAGTGAACGAGCTCCCTCGCCAGAGTACCGTCGCGCTTCTCAAATAGAGTTAGTACACCCTCTGTGGGAGTTGCCCTACTCTCTCACAGAGTCTTACAATCTGGTAGGGTGAAAGCGCATCAATTCCCTCCAAGAGTAGAATCACCCCAGCTGCACTAAGACTAACGTCTAAAAAATATGTAGAGCATTTCGTAAAAACGGTGTACTGCACGGATTCCCTCAAGCTTACGTCACATATGCAGGAAGGATATCAGCATACACATTAGAATAGTACGCAACAAAGCGAACAACAACTCTGAACATATACTTCTCGCGCTATATACGGATAACCACTCACACAGCAACCGGTATTTATATTCATGATGTCTAGCCCCCTTATAGTGCGGGTGGCGCTACATTTCTATCACGCGTTTTTAAGAGCAAATACACATCTGGCGTGCTTAACTATCTGGTGATCGTTAGGAATTCTGTAGGCACGTCGACATTTTTATTTAGAACTACATGGCATACAATGCTGTTTTCAAAGCTAAATTCTAATTATCAGCTGGTATTCTGTCATATCGGCTCAATGCGGTGAAGTCACTAGTGCCCTAGCCTGAGAGTTGTACTTAGGCGCTTACAAACACAGTTTGTACTATCTATAAGCCCAGAGCTGGCCGAAAAATAATCTACTGACGTTACAATCTGACGTCCTACCCGACTTGCGATGCCGCGGTGAGTACTACTAGTACGCTAGAAATAAAACACTGGTAGGCAAAACCACAACTCAAACGCATCTCTGGCAATCCTTATAGTTTTGCTTACCTCGTATACACTTTAATACAACAATGATGCAACAAGGAGATGCTTGTGGATTGCTCAAACGCCAACCTTCACGAGCCACCTGCGCCGAGATCGATCCAAGTAAATGTGACCTGTACCAGTACAACTCCCAGGAAATGTAGACCTAGCTTACCGACCGAGTTTGTCATACATGCCATCGGTGCTAATAATAAGCTATGCCGGGGAGTAAAAATGATTGTACAGTGAACCCTTGCCACGGGTTAACTTGAATGAACCATTGTTTCTTGCGTACGGTGTGCGCACACGGAGCGATGAGCATCGATATGACGTGCTTTCAGCCTGCGGCGCAACGCACACGGGCCACCGCCGAGTGAGTGAAAACATTTGTTGAAAAAAAAAGGAGGAGAGGTGCAGCCCTTTAGAGGCTTCATAGTGGGTGGAGTCATTATTCCGGGACCCCATTGGCGACACTTGCTTACCTAGTCCTCTGGACCGGACCCCTTTGGGCTTGACGTTCCGAGCGACCCAGCAGGGACGCCTCCCACTCCTCTCTGGTTGGGTTAGAGTTGGGGGGGGGGAAGAGCTGAGTTGAGCTGGCAAGCCCAAATGATGTGGTAGGCGTCAGCCACTTGCTCACAGTACTGGCACTTGCCAGTGAAGGAGGAATTGAAATGTTGCATGATTGCCGGGCACAATGAAGTATTGGTGAAAAGTCTCAGCAAGATGCGTTCATTAGCCTTACCCATCCCCTTTGCAGGAGGTAGGTATTGATGATGCTGATGCCTTAATAGGTCTTAATATCTTTGAATGTCAGCAGATATCCGCCTTCGGGTTGCAGGCACTCAGGATCTAAGCGGGATGCCCGGTGAACGAGTGGTCGGGCCGCCGTGTTCATGGCTTTAATTCCCATTAGGCCCTGATGGCCTGTTGTCCAGACTAGGCAACGAGGGGTATAGGGTCGATTCCCCGGTTGCTATATAGTTCCGCGAAATTCTTTCCGCTAGTGGTGTG